CACATTTCATTACACCAAATACATTAAATAATGTTCTTTTTAGCAGCATCATATGACCCCTTTAAGGGTGTTGTAGGGTGTATAGGGTGGATGAGGTGCAGGTCTGGACACTGCCATATTAGGTACTGCTGATGTCTGCATTGCAGTACTCCCTCTCTCTCCCGCTTTCTCTGTCTCTGCAGTAACAGTCAGTATCCTTTCAGTGTTCAATTTAGATGCTTTTACCTCTCCGAGACCACAGTGCTCAGTCTAGACCATCTGATTTAACACAGACGCAACACGCACATTAAGACACTTACACACACATCCACAGCTCTCATTGTTACAGACTCACCCTACGTACAGTAAGCTCTAAAATGAAAACATTTCGGTATGCTATCAGATTTGTCTTTGCATCAGCTACATAGTGTGTGTGTGTGTGTGTGTTTATGATTGGCAAGGTTATTTGGATAAGAAGAGCACGTGACGAGATTTAGAAAAAAGAATGTGACCTTCGTTGGTCTCGCAGTCTGCAAAACTCACCCATAGATACACCCACTGTGTCCAAAAACACAGCTTAGTCTCCTGTCTCTGTACGAGTGCACACTTATATGTGCACATGGGTGGGTGTGTCTGTTGGCATGGCGATTAGCACTGCGGCAGTGTGTCGAGGGGTGTGTGACTCAGTTGGAGAGGAGAGGTCTGCACTGCTGTGAAACTGCATTGATGAAATTCACTTTAATCAGCATATTTGGGAGAAAAGTGTTGACTGCACATACACTGTCACTCGGCAGGTTAAACACTAAAGGTAGTGGTTTAAACTGCATGTATACATGAGGGTCTGAAGTAATGAAAATGCTTCTATTTTGCATTCTTTTCTAGTTTAATCCAACATTGTGCATTTTAAATTATAATAGAACAAGAAATAGAACTGCAATAATTAACATTGCAGAATGTCATAGTATTTTGTTTGTCCCTAACAGCAGCATTCAAGCTGCATGAACTCTATAGGTTTGTGTGAAACCTGATGATCATGATTTGAGATGAACCAATTTTGAAACATTTCATAAAGTTTTATTTAGTTTTAAATATGAAACAATAAATATATATTGTTATTGTTAATTTAATCTATCTGATTTAAATAACATCTCATGGACACTGTTGAATATATCAGAATGTCTGTAACGTGTGTGAGCGTGTGATACAGTAGTTGTAATTAGAGGTTGTGTCCGGTGTGTGTATTACCTGTTGTCCTAGACGCGGATGTGTGTGACTGCCATATTTAGTTATTTTGATTAGATAATCATCAAGTGTTCTAAAATAAAAGCAAATAAAGTGTCAGAGTATGCATACAATATCCATATGTATGTAATTTCAATGTGGCCTTTGTGTAGATATTTAAAGATTTCCATCTAATTTCAACATTTACTAATACATTTTGAAATTTTAAAGTTGCTTCTGTTAACATTAATTAATGAACTATGAACTAACTTTAATGATCAATATATAGTTAATATTAATATTTTCGTTAATTTACAAAGTGATTCAAAACTTTTAGTTTTTGTTTTTTTCTAACCTAGCTATCGATATCGGTAAAATCCACTATCGGTCGACCTCTAGTTGTAATGTTCTGTACTGTAAGTGAGGGTGAAAGTCAAGAGCAGATGAACAGTATGAAAATTTCTTACAGTATAGTTCCTAGAAGTACTCTGTTTTTCAGTCTTTCTCTCATGCTCTTCACCTTCTTTGGCTGGCAGCGCTC